GCGGGTGGGGCGGCTGGGCCCGGGGGTGTCTGCGCTGGGGGGCGTGTAGCCGGGGCCGGAGTAGCTGGGCCCCGGCATGTCGTAGGGGTCCATGAGCGCCTGCTGGGATGTGGCGGGAGCAGAGGTGCTCTGGCTCTGTGCCACGGAGGAGATGAGGGTGGGCTGGACCAACCACTGCAGGTCCTGGCTGGTGGTGATGGCCGTCACGGTGGGCACGAAGGAGCCTGGCATTTCCAACGCTGCCGCCGCCGCACACTCCTGGAGACAGACACAAGGGGGCGCCAGGTTAGGCCTCCACTGCACAGAGATACAGGGCAGAATTCCATCAGTTTAGAGCGTCATTAAAACACAGCACACACACTATCAAGGGCCCAGCAAGCGGCTGTCCAATTCTCCAAAAGTGTGCAATTCTGTATCACCGGATTTGCACTTTGCACAGCTGTCCGTATCCATTGCAGAGCCTCAGCTGGGTAAACACCCCAGCCTGTCGCTTTCTTTTTTCTTTCCCAATGAACGCGATGCCTCTTTGGAGGCCGACCCCGAATGGGCTGCATTAGTAACACACACACCCACAAAAAAAAAATCAACTGACCATTCCAACCCGAGAAAGCGTTTTCAAGAGTAAACTACGTTTCACCTCGGAAGATCCTACAATCCTGCAAATTCCCACCCACCGGTGGGATCGGCGACCCTGCGTGCGTGACAGCGAGACGAGAGGTGCACTGGAGCAACAGGCACCACCATCAAGCAGGAGGAGCGCAAGACAGGCTTATTGAGGACAGAGACGTGTGGACAGGTGATAACTAGAACTGAAGCACAGGCTCTTTTTACTTCCTAGAGTAACTGGGCCGAGGTTAGAGTAAGCAGAAGTAAAAAAGAGGAAAACAAAAAAAACATTTCGGCTGTGGACTGTTGTTTGGGATGTTCAAGTGTGTGAATTATAATGTAAATGTGTCTTTCAGAGCTGTGGTGACTAATATCTGTGAGGAAGCAACCGTTATTAATTAGGAGAGCCGTAATCAGCCGGAGCAAATTAATATCCAGTCCCAAAAGGCACAATTAGTGCTTGCTTTCAGTAAAGCCCTGAAAGGTGATCCTTGTAAAATACACAAGTATTTTTACCTTTCATAATCATAGAGATCGGAAGCTAAGAATACAAAGTGTGTTTTTAGACGGTTGTTTCTTAATATCGTGAAATATTACTTATTGTGCATATTTCCTCCAATTACGATATTCATTTACTGGACTCCTAACCTTGAATAGATAGTTATTATGCGACGCTTTGTGTAAAAAACAAGTTAATATTTTCCCAGTCAAATGCAAGAAGTCCATTTTTATGGTGCTCTGTGTTGTGTATCTCTTTTTCCCCGAAACAACGGACGACAGCGGTAAAAATAGGCACTTATACGACGTTGCAAAAGTAAAATTAGAAGCCCCTAATATATCTAGAATCTGGGCTTAATTTAGCTCACAGGCGATTACATTGTATTACAATATGATTAATATTCAAGCAAGCCTCTCTTGCGCTCCTACGAATGACAGCACACGCCACGTGGGGGAGGGGGAGGCGCTGCTTTGAAGCCCCCGTTACAGCCAATCAGAGCTCACCTCCTCCTCCGCTCCCCCCCCGTGTTCCCCTTAGCAACGCGACGTAACACTCCAAAATAGAACGCGTCGACGTCACTGACAGGGCTGCCGAGAGAGGACCGTGCAGGCGAGGGAGGGGCTTGGCGGGTGCGTGCCAAGCGTCAGTCGGAGAGTTCCGAGCCCGTCATCCGTTACGCAGCGCTGGAAACCTACCGCGCCGCAGCCGGCTTGCTCGGCCGGCGGCTGACTGGCTTTCCATCCCCGCAAGATGAAAGCTGTCCGAGCGCCGGAGAATCGCTAAAAAAAGACGCCTTCGCAGCTCGACGCGGAGAGAAACCAGCTTCCGGTGTTTTGCTTGAGGAACACGGAGAATTGCGGGTTTCTCTCTTGGTGTGCGTGTGTTGGGGGGGAACCTCTGTGGGCACGGAGCAGCTTCAGCGTCTGCTCCGACATCCCTGGCACGGTACTAGACGGTGCTCTCGGTCTGCTTTCTAGTTTGTCGGCTGCCCGGGTCCGGACAGCAGTTTTAGAGTTAGTTCATAAACACGCTGTCAAAGCGCGGCTTCTGCGTTTTTCTACTAGGCTACTGCAAGGGTACAGAAACGAGTCGCTGTCACATCGTCTATTTTATGTTAAAATACACACACACACACACTTCTAGAATCTGCAATGCCCCTTAAAAAATCGGCTTGACTTACTTGGGGAGCAGCGGTGGTCGGTGGGCTCCCGAAGGAGTCCACGGAGGACAGGTACTGGGACTCGGCCGAAGGAGACGAGCTGCCGCGGGAGCCTGAGTCGAAGTCGCCGGGGAACCCCTGGAACATCTCCCCGCCTGAGCCGAGAGACCGGTGCGTCCGTCCCCGCGGAGCCTCGGCAGCCCTGCAAAGCCGCCGGCCAGCACACACAACACACACAAGGGCAGGCAGGTGGGGTTAGCGAAAGGTCACAGCTCGCTCGCTCTTGCTCCGAGACAGGGCAGCGCGGAGGATGGTCTGGCAAACAGGACGGTCACCCTCTACAGGTGCACCCAGACTGCCCCTAACTGCACGCTAGACAGCGCACTGGGAAACACAGCTGTCATTTTCTACCGCGCCACGAAAACAGTAGGAGCACGAATCAGACTACGGAGCGCAACACGTCCCTCTCTACATGGTGCAGATAGGATACGATTAAGACGCACAAGGCGGCAGTCGCCAGTGCCTCCAAACGCAAGCCGGTATAAATACACGTGCTTAAATGTCACCGCGGTTCGAGCAGGAGAAACATGACATTTTTATGAATGCCAGAGTTACTCAAGCATGTGAAATTCCTGGTGTAAATGAAAGACATGGAAACACCGCTCGTGGCGCTGGCTCCTCAGTAGCCCGCTCTTCCCGGACGGTTCAGTTAGACGACAAGCAGGGCTCTCACCTGTTCTGATCTCCTGGCCGGTGTCCTTCAGATGCAACGATCGTCCCCCCCAGTGAAAACACAAGTCCCAACAACCAATCCGTGCGGTTTCCTTGTTTTGAATTACTCCGGGTCCCCGAGCCCTTCCTTTATAAACTCCTGGTTGTTTAGCAGGTAGAATCCATGGGTTTTCCGGTAGAAATGGTGAATGTCGTTTAAAAAAAACAACAACGCAAAGAACAAACACACAAAGAAACAGTACTAAAAACTCCGCTCTGCGTGTTACTGGGGTTGGTAGTAAGATCCTCGCAGCGGAGCAGCTTCTTGTCTTTATGAATGAAACGAACTCAACGCGCGGCATTGTAAACTAGGATTTCCTAGTCCCGCCCTCGGAGTTCCGATGACGTACGTGCCCATATATGGGGTTGTCTAGTCTGTGTTTTTGTTTGGTATCCTAGCAATGACGTTTAGGGATTCCCTCTCCCACAGAAATCGCATTGGCCTTGTAGGCTGTTAATAATAGAAACTTTTACTATCAGCGCACCGATTCGGATTTGAGAGGAGAATCTCGCACAGGTTCTTGTAACCTGTGCAAGGGAGATTTTTTCTAGATTACAAAGGAAAATCGTACCAAACGAGACAGCGTACAGCCAACCCGATTTCTGTCCGTCACAGCAGTAAATACAGTTTCTCAGAAACTAAACGACATTATGCGCTGTACTTATGCTACACGTTAGATCTTGGCAAGGTCTCTTGGGTTGGTTCCGCGAAAAAAAGAAATGACAGAAGCCGAGTGCAAGAACGCACCACAAAAATCTACCTCTAATGTGAAATACGGCGAAATACCGTTTTATCAAACCGCCGCCGTGTGCCTGCAGACACATTTTGAACCTGTCCAGTCCCTTACTTGATCTAGTAAGTTAATGCAAAAAAGCAGCCTCTGCATTCAGAACATTCTGAAAGAGCTATTGTCTTGCTTGCTAACCAGCATTGATAGATATACATATTGTTTTCTATTGCATAATCAATTTTATAGTTTTATAATGCATTAAAAAACAGACAATGTTTCGACGGCTGTTTGCAAACAGAGGTTACGGCCGATTGCACACCGCTCCACAGCCGCTCAAGAGGCCGTTTTCGAAGCGTTAAGTGCTCCTCGTCTCTCCCTGTTACGAAACCGGGCGGACCCCGTCAGCCTCGTCGCGCACACAGACAGACTCTGTGCAGGCTCGCACGAGAACACGCCTCGAGCAAACTGAGGAAACTGCCTTGAACTTTCTCGGGGACACGCCCTGCGGATTCCCCGGCGCCTTGCGAGCCTCGAGCCCGCAGGAAGAACGGGATTCTCGCCCCGGCAGGATTCAAGGCAGAGAGGGGGCTCGGCGGATGAGGCGAGATTGAACCCGCCCGCTAGCTTCAGCTGGTTTCGTTCGGAATTGGTCGAGCTGAAACGTAGGTATGGTCCCTGTATCGCTGTGAGCAAATTAATTTAACATCGTATTATTATTATTATTATTATTATTATTATTATTATTATTATTATTGATATACGCAAAATCATCAATCTCCATTTTCAAAATGGGCCTTTTAGGTTTCCAGCACAAGACGTTACGTTACAATAATTTTACTGGAACGTCAACGAGGTCCATTTTTATAGAAATAAAAACACATCAGCGGTCTCGCTGTTGTACTTGTATCGTTGTACTTGCAATAAAAATCTGTGAAATGTGTAGAATCGTGCGATTGTTCAACTGAAACTGAAACAACGCTATTTAGAGGCTGAAGATCCCTCACCGGTCATCACGCGCGCTTGTGTCGCGAGGTGCGGAGACACGCGACGCCTGTTCTCCCGCTCCGCAGGGCGCGCGGCCCCGAGCCCCGGGGTTGGAGCGAGCCAGCCCGGCTTTTTGCATGTCAGACCAGTTGCGTTTAGGTGTTCGTCAGCTTCAAGGCTGTGTGTCTGTTCTTACTGGCACGACCCTGGTTCTTTGTCGCCTGCCACCGTCCTCTTTTACATCTTTATTGTTTTGAAAAACAAAATAGAGTTGAAAAATAACCCCCCGCAGAGGTGACTGTATGACATTTTTATACATGCAACTGGGAAGGCACAACGGTATCTGCTATGGGCTGTAGGGCGTTTGTTCCATGATTTAGAAAAACAACAACTGTGCGGTATTATCAGTGATGCTGCTTTTATAATACGGCGTGGCTATTGGAAGACCTGCGTTTATAACACAGAACCGGCGGGGCTCTTGGAAGACCTGCTGCACGAGGCCGCGGAAGCGCTTCGAGCCCAGGTGCGCGAGGCAGCCTCGCGCTGTTGACATTCCTCGGCCAGGCGGGGTCACGCGCCGGGGGAAGCCGGGCGGAGGGAGACACCGCAGCGCCGAGGGAGTCCCGGGGCGGGATCTGCAAGAACACTCTCAGAAACGTCTGCCGTCGGGGCAGAAGGGCTGAACCGCCACGAGAGAGCCAGAGAACAACAACACGGTGCTTCTGACAGCAGCAACTCACTCGACCACAGATTACAGGTTTTACGCAGCGGTAACTTTCGCCGCCAGACAGCTGCAGAACGCTGTTTGAATCTCCTCCGTTTCCTGTTCCCACACTCGCTACCTAGACAGGCCGGCTGGGGCCCGTTCTCCCCTGTCTGGGGTAGCTGGTCGTTCTGCTCCCGACAGCATCGCACCCGCAACGTTTCAATCGAGTACGAAAACCGAACAGCCTCTCCGCCCTCTCGCAACCAGCGCGTCACCCCTGCCAGAGGAGAAAAGAGGCCAGACTCGCAAGACTGCGCTAGCCGGAAAAAAAAAACAAACAAATGAATTTTAACTGAAAACTCCCACAAAATACGGTCATGCCTAAAACACAGCAAAGGTAAAAAGATGCCCTTCTTATCATCGAAGAAACAACGCGTTTTATCTAAAGGTTTCAAAACAAGCGCCAGGCGTCAAGCGCTCGTCTGTAACCTAAGCGTTCACAGAGTGGGATTTCTCACAGTCAGCATGGTAGCGGACAGCACGAAACTATTAACGTGCTCGGCCTAGCGAGAAGCGACCCGTGTTCGGAAGATCCTACGACTTAGCGTAACTCTTTCAGAACCAATAACGTTCCGGGTTTGTTCGTTGGCCGGTGTTTGTATTAAGAGGTTAATGTCGTGCAGTCCTCATCAACAGGCCTGTCTCACGCAGGTACTGTACGCTGTTGGCATATTGACAACAGAAAACATGTCTACAGCATCATTTGGCAATCAGAGCGTGTATTTCATTCCATATATCTTCATGAAAATGCTCACATGAGTTTTGCCAGCACTAGGCCTGAAACAAGGTCAAGCATTGACTCGTGAGAAGAAACTGGAAGTCAGACGAATGAGTTCATGGAGGATACAGGGGGCCAAAGCGCATTTTCGGAGCGGCATTTTAAATATAGACAATTTTTGTACTGCACCAATCAATACATTTCTGTGGGGAGACGTTTAAACCTGTCTTTTTTTCAAACAAAACTGCTTCCGCACATCGCTTAGCTCGGTGCAGTGACAGCTCACTGCTGTAATAACGTCGCTCCCCACCACTAACACTCCTAAAAACGAAGTGATTCATTGTTGCTGTATTGTATGAATCTTGTGTCCGACAGAGCAGGGGGCGGGTGTGTGTGCGTGTGTGAGAAATGTCGTCCCAACGCCGCAACGAGCCGAGTGTAACGGTGCGTACAACCGGCAAGTGGACTTACTCAGCAGAATGATGTCACGCTGAGGAACGTACAGTTCCGTATTCGTTTCGTCGGGGTGAGTAATCCGGCCGGACACGACTCGCGAGCAGAACAGCCGCTCCGACAACCCCCCGCGCACACGGCTCCGAACCCCGCGCGCTCCAGGCCGGGCCAGTCCACGTCAGCCGCGTGCCGTGCCATGCACTCTGGGATTGCCACAGTTCCCACCAGTTCTGCTGCGCAGGTATGATTCCACGACTCGCTCGCTCGCTCTGCTGCCTCCCAGTGCACCCAAATCTACGCAGTTTAATTTTTACTACGGACTGCTCCGCGATGCATGGTGTACCCTTGACACACGCACACCCCGCACGCTGCGAAGACAGTCCAGCGACAGAAGCGGCTGTGAAATGGATGAGTAACTACAAAAAAAAAATCAGTGTTGCTCAGTATCGCAACATATATTGAAAAGGTGATCAAATATTTTAAGTGTAAAATAAAATGTTCTTAATTACTGGTTTTCTGAGCGGGATTTAGGATGACGCTCTATACAAATGTGCGTGTACATTTATATATTGACATCGTTTCGGTGTAGCCGTTAAATTCACAAGGGAAACAATCTAAGCGACTGAACTGAACTGAATCAATGCTTGTCAATCCACCAGCCCGTTTAGCAGTGCCTGTCCGAACCGTGGTATAGGAAATGTTAAACTGTACTCGTGTGGAGTCTTCATACGCCACATGCACGGAGCAATACTCTCTTAAGCACGGATCTTGCGCCTCACGTGACAACTCCGCAGCCCTGACCTGCCACGCAACTTGTTTTCACTTTTTAGTATCGCGCTTATTTAGCTTTGTTGTTGTACTTTGCGTCGGTTCCTGATTAGTCTCCGTACAAAAATATACAAAAGAATGCTACTTCCTCTTTTCTTCCCTGCTACCCCACGTGGTATCTACCACGGCCTGTGTACACAACGTTCCGTCGCCTTGGAGACGCCGTTCCAACACGCATACGTCACGACGCTCGATTGGTTTTTGTTTTCGTGACCTGGCAACCAGTTTCCGTAGGAACCAACACGAGGAGGGGCCTCTCGAGGCTGAGTGACAGCTGCAGCTCGCAGGAGTTCTTCGAGGGAAGTCTAGAACAGCAGCACATACACGAATTTTCTTCATTAACTTTTATTACCTAGACACCAGGAGGTCACTACTTTTACAAGTGACACATGTGTAATTAAAATAGGACTTCACCTTTATTCGATAACCATGCATTCAATCGGTAATATTTAGATGTCCGTTCGATGTGCAGCGCTGCGTTGTCACTATCTACAAAATACTGCTTGTTGTTTATTTTGATCCCATCAGACATTACCATTACGTTTACGGTATTTAAAGATACCTGTATTACGCTCCGTCCTGCACGGGGGAAATATTCTCCATGCTGTCCAGTCATATCGCACGCAAAACAATCCCGTTTCACTAAGACATACGGCTAAGTTTGCACAAGTATTAATAAGGCTACCTCAATAATAGCAGTTATAAAAAGGGAGTTGCATTAAGTATGTATTAATATGGATGCTGCACATTGGTGGTGATGGAGGGGAGTCCCCATTACCTGTAAAGTGCTTTGAGTGGAGTGTCCAGAAAAGCACTATATAAGTGTAAGCAATAATAATAATAATAATAGTAATAATATTTTAATTAAGAGTTCATTAATATTCTCCAGTATTATGCATACTGTGTCTAAAACACAAGAATAGTTTAAATCTTTTAACTGTTAGTGCATTAATAATTAGTGCATTTGAAGAAGTCATTTTGGGTCCCCGGTGGTTTGGTCCTGGTTAATTAGCTGTGGAACCTAGTTTCCACAGGCAGAGAGAAGGGGGAGGTATTCAGTGTTGCACAGGCCTGTGAACCCAGGGTCTGTGCGACACTGATATACCTCCCCCCACTGATCTTTCCGTCGGTGGCCTAGGGAGACAGCCCCTCAGGAGAGCAGACACCACATGGTTGCGCCCCTCCGACTGTCCCACGATCTGCCCCACAGTCCTCTCCCTCCAGGAAGTGCCCCCCATGAAGAAGAAAAGCATGAGCTCCTCTGCTCCTGTGGACGAATGCCCCTTGTTCACACAGAGCCTGAGAAAGAGACACGAGCACCTGTCTGTGAAGAATGCACTTGAAATGATTCTTAAAATAGCACCCCAAGAAATGTGACACTTTCAAACTTTGCGCATTGTGCTTTTTGAAACCCTGACCTCAATCTCAAGAGGGCTGCAGCCCCAGTTTCTCCCCTCTGGTCCCCCAAGCCTGGGGTCCCCCACTCCCGGCTCCTCTCGGCGGAGAGACGACCCCTCTTCCCTGCGTCATCAGGCCCTTCCTCCGAGGAAGACAAGCTCTGCAAGAGAGCTTTTCAGCGTGTTGCACTTGAGAGAACGGTAAAAGGAAGGAGGGCTCCCCGGCATTTGAACAGTGAATCTGAACCCCAGCACTGACACAGCGGAAGAACACCACCTGGAGATTGCAGGTTCAAATCCGGGCTGTATTGTCCTGTGGCTGTGGCTGGTTGGTAGACATAGAAAGATAGTGCACGCCCCTGTTGTTGACTGAGTGCAGCATGCAGGGCTCAGGGGTTGGGGGTTAATAATATAATAATTCCTTACACTTCTATAGCTCTTTTCTGGACACTCCACTCAAAGCGCTTTACAGGTAATGGGGATCCCCTCCACCACCACCAGTGTGCAGCCCCACCTGGATGATGCGCCAGTACTCTCCCCACACACCAGCTCT